CACCTGAGGCATTGCCATTGTTCACGTTGCGAGAACCGTGGGAGCTGCGGGACGCCATTCTTTCAGGCTTGCTGTTGAAAGAGAAAAAGAGTAGTGTTGTGGCCTGCTTGAGTATTGGACTCAGGCTCTCAATGAAAGCACCAATGACGGTAATAACGTTACCGGTAAATAATAATATAACAATGCTATAAGAGAATACGATAGTTGTATTGCTTTTGTCTCAGTATAGAAAGTACAATGTGTCCCCTGCTCAGCTGAGGGAAGTTCTATTTATGCTAGGTCCTAACAGTAACAACATGAAGAGTCATCATTGGGGAGCTGAGCTAACGGCAAGAATATGAAGAGTCATGAATGAGGCATTGAGGCTTTAACTCTCTCTCATCAAAGGTGGCATCAATGGTGGCTTCAAAGACAATAAAGGTGACACCTGTTGGAATTCCTAACCGTTGGAGTTCTGCCCGTTGGGTTCCCATGTGATGCTGAGTCAATGCCCATTTGTGATCCGGGTCGGGTGCCAGCCCTATTATCCTGTCATATATAAAAGCAATGGATAAGAAGCAAATGTTCCACCAAATCACACACATATAAAATACCAATTCTTCCATAGGAGCAAATTAAATGAATTTAATTTGAAAAAAAAAAGAAGAAGAAGAAGAAGAAGAAGAAGAAGAAGAAGAAGGAGAAGAAGAAGAAGGAGGAGAAGAAGAAGAAGGAGGAGAAGGAGGAGAAGAAGGAGGAGAAGGAGGAGAAGAAAGAGAAGAAGGAGAAGAAGAAGAAGGAGGAGGAGAAGAAGGAGGAGGAGAAGAAGAAGGAGGAGGAGGAGGAGAAGAAGAAGAAGGAGGAGGAGAAGAAGGAGGAGGAGGAGGAGAAGAAGAAGGAGGAGGAGGAGGAGGAGGAGGAGGAGGAGGAGGAGGAGGAGGAGGAGGAGGAGAAGAAGAAGAAGAAGAAATTGAACTAACAATGATGGGCACACATGTGCTTGAAGATGCTAACATAATTATGATAAGCAAATCAATTTTACGTACATGCCATGCCTTTGCATGTCTCTTTGCACCCCCACCATGTTCTCTTCCTTAATTAGCATGCCATTTTTTTTTTAATTTCTCAAATAAATAAATAAAAAACCATCCAAATTGTCCTGCTTGTATGCCTAAATGCATGTAGAGACGTTTATTGGCACAAGTGTCAAATAGGCTCATCTACTAGTCTGAAGTGCTCAATTCCCCCCCATCTACTAAAACATAATCTAATTAGACACACTTACCTCCAAAAATTTGCCAATTAATTTTTTTTGCAGGTTACCTCTGGTAGAGTCTGACTTGGTCCGGTCACTGATTATGTGGCAATGATGACATGACAATTAAATAACAAAATTTGATGACATGGTAATTAAATAACAAAATTAAAACATCCTAAAATAGAAAATCGAAACCCTTATTTTTTGACGAGCGAAACCCAATTCCTAAATTCCTAAATTATGTTTTTTGAAAGCAATTCCTAAATTATGTTAAACAGACTATTCCACAACCCCCCTTTCAACAAGCCTTAGAATAGTTTATGCGAAACAGATAGTGAAGGGCGGTGAGAACCGACAGTGGTAACTTATTCACCATGCGAGATTGAGAGCGAGCCTACAGCGAGATTGAGAGCCGAAAGTGGTGAGAACTGACAGTGTCATGTCGCCGAAAGTGCAGAACTGATTACTCTATTCGAAACCGAAGACAATGAGGAAGGAGTGCTGAATAGACACAGTGCATTCATAGCAAGTAGGTAAGTTGTGGATTTTTCTAAAGAATTCTAATTCAAATAACTTGTCTAATGGTTGCTTTACTGTAAAGTGGTTGTGGTCCTGCATATTGTTCTGTCCAATGAAGTTGTGGTGCCTTTTTTTGTTGAGAGTAAATATGCTTATTGTACTGAAGCTTGAAAAGTGTGTTTTTTGTTGTCTTGCTTTTGTCTATAATATGTCTGGTAAATCTATTGTGGGGGTCCTACAAAATAGAAGTCTTAAAGTATATTGTTTGGTTGTGATTTATAAATTGTGCATTTAATAATTGTGAAAAAATATGTGAAAAAGATGTGTTGACAGATTAGTTTTGTCTGTTTGCTTATTGTATTTATACTTATTTTATTTCAGGATGTCTGATTCTATAGAATTACTTATTCACCATGGTGGTAACTTTACAAAAACCCCTGGGCTTAAGTATGTAGGAGGAGAAGTAGAATCTGTAGTAATTGACCCAGACTTGGTATGTTATCCACATCTGATGAAGTATATTAAAGAGCAAAGATATGGTAAAATTGTATCACTAACTTACAAATTACCTGAAGAATCCTTTAAGGAATTGAAGCTTTTAAATGATGATGCCAGTAGTATGCACTTAGTTCAGATTACATTAAAAGGTAGGAAGTGTGAGATATATGTTGAACATGGGCTAGATTATCCACAATTGATTTCTATTATGCTTTTACCTGGTCCTGAAATTGCAGAAAAAGAAAATAGGAATGAATGTAGGTGTTTGAGTGACATAGAATTGGACTTTGATGGGTTTGACTTTGGGAATGAGGCTGAATTGGGAATTGATGGTGGGGCAAAATTTGAGACCGATGGTGGGGCAGAATTACAAACTGATGGTGGGGTTGAGTTAGGTGGGGAAGTTGGGTCAGATGTTGAAATTGGTTGTGGGGAAGAAAGTGAGGGTGGGTCTGATTGTGGGGAAGAAAGTGAGGGTGGGCATGATGAAGAGGGTATGGGTAGGCAACCTGAAACCACTCATGTAGATGACAATGAAGGGAATGAGAGTGTTTACTATGATTCTGATGATCCACCCACCATTCAAGAAGAAAATGAGAATGATGTTGGTGAAGAGGTTCAATCCAGTATTAATAAATGCAAATACCCAAGATATAATCCTAAGTCTGATCCACCTATTATTGAGTTGGGTATGCTGTTTGATGATAATGTGCAATTTAAAAATGCAATGATAAGTTATGCAGTACACAATAAAAGAGATATTTTTTGGAAAAAAAATGAACCTAAATATGTAAGGACAGAGTGTACTGGAGAGGGGTGTCCTTTCTACTGTAGTGCTGGGTGGGAAGACAGATACAAATGTTTTCAAGTCAAGTCCATAAATCTGGTCCATAGATGCAATTCAAAATACAAGCTAAGGGTTGTGAGTCAAAAGTGGCTAGTTGATAAATTAGAAGACAAAGTCAGGAAGGATCCTTGCATTGGATTTACTCAGCTGAAGAATGATGTAAGGGCAGGTTTGAAGCTAAATATTACAATCAGCATGGCTAGAAGGACTATAGCAGGAATTCTAAAAAAACTAGATGCAGGCTATGAAGGGCAGTTTAAAAGAGTAAGAGATTATGCTAAAGAATGTCTCAACTCAAATCCAGGTAGCACTGTTAAGATTGAAACATCTAGGGTTGTTTCTGATGCTCCATGTGTATTTCAGAGAATTTATGTATGTTTTGGTGCTTGTAAAAGAGGATTTTTAGAAGGTTGTAGGAAGGTGATTGGGTTAGATGGGTGCTTAGCTTCTTGAAAGGTATGTTGAAGGGAGAGATATTAACTGCTGTTGGTAGGGATGGAAACAATCAGATGTATCCTATTGCTTGGGCCATTGTTGAGATAGAGAATAACTCATCCTGGAAATGGTTTTTGGAGTTGTTGAAGGGAGATCTTGGGATGTGGGACAGCAGCCATTGGACATTGATGAGTGATCAACAAAAGGTACTAGTTTATACCTTATATTCTGTTTTAATCCATCCTTTTATATTCTGAATATTCTGTTTTATTCCATCACTTAATACCTCTGTGTTTGTTTATATTGTGTTTGTTTCATGCAGGGGCTGAGTAATATAATTGCAGAATTATTTCCAGGAATTGAACACAGGAATTGTGCAAGGCATGTCCATGCTAATTGGAGTAAAAGTCATAGAGGCAAGGTCTTGAAAAAGCATTTTTGGCAATGTGCTAAGGCAACCACAGAAGCACAACTTGAAGAAGAACTGAAGGCATTAGAGAAAATTGATGTGAATGCAAGAAAAGACTTAGACAAATACCCAATGAAGTTGTGGTGTAAGGCCTTTTTTAGGACAGAGGTGAAGTGTGACATAGTGGACAATAACCTTTCAGAAGCCTTCAACAACACACTCTTAAAGGCTAGGTCAAAACCAATAGTTTCCATGTTAGAGGACATCAGAGTTGGACACCAACTGAAAGAGTCATATATAAACCTAGAAGGGAGAGAAACAACACACCTAGAACAAGATCAAGTACCATTGCCAATAGTTCAAGTGGAGCAATTTCACAGTGTTTGACGTTCTTCAATTGTAGTGCTTTCAGTGTTTTTTCTATATTTTGGCAGTTTAACTATGTACTTATGTGCACAAAAAATGCTAAGTAGTTTGTGATTTTACTGATTGGCATTTTATTGCCTATTTCAAATTGAAACTGCATTTTTGTAACTGTATCTTGGCAGTGTATTGTGCTATTTTGGTAATCAGTGCTTGGAAGTTTGTCTTTTTCTTTCATGGGTGATCATTATGCCTTGATAGTGTACTGTGATCTTGAGTTGTTTTTAAAGTTTTGTAATTTAAAATTTAATCTGCATAATGATTAGTGGTGTCCACTTTCTCTTTGTGGGATTTGTTATTTTCCAATATGGAGTGAAATTTATTGGCCGCCCATTATGTAGTAGCACTGTTCAGCTAAAACTTATTGCCAATTCTAACCACAATTCTACTGTCAATGTTCAGCTAAAACTTACTGCCCATTATCTAACCACAAACTTACTACCCATCAGCTGAAACTTACTGCCCACAAAATGCTAAACACAATTGACTTTTGTCCATATGTTACGCGCAATAGTTATAGTGCAAAGTAAAACATGGTCCATGGTATAATTTGCCGGCAAAGAACTTACTCTTCAAATAAATTTCAATTGGAAAAGAGAGATGAATGCTTTTTCAGCAAAAAAGGAAAATCGAAAACGCAACTATATTGCACTTCCCGAACACATGCAATGACTGCAATGAAGATTCATACATAACACAGCCAGAAGACACAAGGAAAAGGACTCAATATAGCTTTTGTGACAAACGAAGAAATAAGATATGTCCCTTAATCCACTTCTTCCATCTTGCTTTCCTCACCAGCTTCATCCTCCAATGCAGGCATGTCAGCATCATCACCAGCTTCCTCCTCATCAATGCTGAGAATGAACGGAGATGAACTAGAACCAGAACGATTCATTCCCTAGCTGGTATGGTGCAGAAGAACAGTCACATTCAATGTTCGTTGTTGAAGTTTTTTCACAGTTAATGTTTTACAGAGACCAAAACTCCAAAAGGAGATTGTGGACAAGAATGAGATACTAACACTCTGACTGGAAGATAAGCTGATATACATTGCGCAGTCAATCATTCATGGGCATTTGTCCAGCATAGCTGCAATTATTGCCATGGAAGTTGATGTGATGGGGTAGAAGACATGGATAATCTCAAAACCGCACAAATGATATTTTGTTTGTCTTGGATCAATAACAGAGATTATGAATAATTGATAGAGATTATGCGCAAACTGGAGATGTGCGAACTGGAGAGATCTGCGACTGGAGATGTGCGTTTGAAATCAAACTGCAGATGTGCGATGAGATTATGATGGACAAGGGTTCAGGAGATTAGGAAATAATTAAATTCCACATCATCACCTATTTTTATTTAAATAAAATTACATGTCAGCAAAATGGATGGGCAACCTAGAGGTAACCTGCAAAAAAAGTTAATTGGCATATTTTTGAAGGTAAGTGTGTCTAATTAGATTATGTTTTAGTAGATGGGGGAATTGAGCACTTCAAACTAGTAGATGGACCTATTTCACACTTGTGCCAATAAAATATTACATTTTCCCTCAAATTGCATGTGTGGGGTTTGTATGTTTGGAAGAGGGAAAATCATCTAGAAAGAATTTTATCTTGTGGGCCTTAATTTTTTTCCTTTATAAAAATATAATTATATTAATAATTGCAGGTGGTTCTTTTGTTTTTTGCTTTAGAATATAAAATATAGTTTTTGTTCTATGTATTTGATGCCATGGTACATGTGCTTGCAATGTGGGCTTTATAGAAAGTATGTTCATTCGCATATTTTTATTAACCGTACCGTACGTGCCTACAAGGGTTTGCCATCGTTATCAGCAATTATACCGTTGACCGGGATCTACAAAGCTTTGTAGATCATGGTCCAAAATGGTAGATAATATAGTGTATTTAAATTGATACTGTCTCACACATTATTTTTAGAGAAAATGGTCAAATAGGTCCATGAATATTTTGTGAAAAGTCAATTAGGCCCATGAACTTTTTAAAAGTGCAATTGAACACATGAACTCATGATTTCAAGTCGTCCGACCCCATTAACATGTTACCTCTCTAGTAGGTGTCGGTAACTGTCCTCGTGGCTTGCCACATAAGCTATGTTTGGATTATTTGGATTGCCACATAAGCATAAATTAAAAAAAAAAAAAAGAAAAAAAAACTTCTGAACGCTCTGTTCTTCTTCTTCTTTATTCTGCTTCGTCTTTTTTTTTTTTTTTTTTTTTTTTTTTTTTTTTTTTTTATTCATTTCACCGCTTCATCATCTTTATTTATTTCACTGCTTAATCATCTTCATCTTTATTTATTTCACTCATTATTATTATTATTATTATTATTATTAGTTTGGAGACGAATCATCGTGAGGATTATGAAACTCCATCGTCGTTATCGTGTTCATAAAAAATTTATGATTGTGAGCATATAGCCATTAATGTGAAATCCAACTATCAGCTTAGGCTTTTAGTTGAGATGGAGAACATGCTTCAATTTGGTATCAGAGCCAGACCAAAGGTCATGGGTTTGAATCTCAGTGCTTATCTCACACGTGAGGGGTCATAAGTGGTGATAATTCCATGAGGAAAAAGACAGCTTAGGCTTTTAGTTGATTACATGAGGAAAAAGAGTGGGTCCAATCATAAGTGGTGATAATTCCATGAGGAAAAAGACAGAGAGAGGAGAGATAATTCCATGAGGAAAAAGACAGAGAGAGGAGAGGCACCTGTCATTGGGAGAGGTCACGGAGAGGTCGCGGACATAATTCCATGAGGAAAAAGACATAGAGAGAGGCACCTGTCGTCTGCAGAGATTGGGAGAGGTCGCGGAGAATTCCATGAGGAAGAAGACATAGAGAGAGGCACCTGTCGTCTGCAGAGATTGGGAGAGGTTGCGGAGCATAATTCCATGAGGACAAAGACATAGAGAGAGGCACCTGTCGTCTGCAGAGATTGGGAGAGGTCGCGGAGCATAATTCCATGAGGAAAAAGACATAGAGAGAGGCACCTGTCGTCTGCAGAGATTGGGAGAGGTCGCGGAGCATAATTCCATGAGGAAAAAGACATAGAGAGAGGCACCTGTCGTCTGCAGAGATTGGTCGCGGAGAATTCCATGAGGAAAAAAGACAGAGAGAGAGGCACCTGAGGCACCTGTCGTCTGCAGAGATTGGGAGAGGTCGCGGAGAATTCCATGAGGAGAAAGACAGAGAGAGGCATCTGTCGTTTGCAGAGGAGATTGGGAGCGGAGAAGAGAAGTCCAATCATAAGTGATAATTCCATGAGGAAAAAGACAGAGAGAGAAGCACCTGTCGTCTGCAGAGATTGGGAGAGGTCGAGGAGAAGAGAAGTCCAGCCTTTGGCGACCAGGAAATTAGCATCTTTCAAGGGAGAATCTGAATGGGCTTAGAGGGCTTGAATATAAGAGGCTTTCAAAGGCTTGGAAATCGGCGCTCAATCTCATCAATTTCTTCCGACTCTTCTTCAGACCTACAACTGTTGGAAGTCTCCAAATCCAAAGATTTCTCTTCGTTGCTCTCCGACCACCCCGCACTGCTAAGCCTACTATAGCAAGAAACTCTCATACTTGCATCTCCATTTCCCTTCACCCCCACAGCTTCATTTACTACATTATCATCATCCTTGCCTGAAACTATGATGAACTTCCTCTGATCCTCAGTACCGTTCTTATTATTCTCCCTCTTTTTGTTCCTGTTTCGATCCCTCAATCGCTTCAGAATGGACCCGAACAGCCCCAAACCAACGTTCTTGATCTGGGGTCTAGCCTTTTTCTCAGCCTGTTGTTGCTTCTGAATCCTCAAGGCAACGTCGAGGAGCATAAGCAGTGAAATGAATAAAGAAGAAAGAAGAAGCAGTGAAGTAAATTGATGTTCATCATCGGCCTCCGAGGATGAACACGATGACGACGATGGAGTTTCCTGATCCTCACGATGATTCGTCTCCAAACTAATAATAATAATAATAATGATAATAATAATAATAATAATAATAATAATAATAATAAGTGAAATAAATAAAGATGAAGATGATGGAGCGTGAAGCAGAATAATAAAGAAGAAGAACAACAACAACATGGGCGTTCAGAAGTTTTTTTATTTTATTTTATTTTATTTTTATTTTTTTTTTAATTTATGCTTATGTGGTAATCCAAATAATCAAAACATAGCTTATGTGGCAAGCCACGAGGGCAATTACCGACACCTATTAGGGAGGTAACCTGCTAATGGGGTCGGATGACTCAAAATCATGAGTTCATATGTTCAATTGCACTTTTAAAATGTTTATGGGCCTAATTGACTTTTCACGAAATGTTCAGGGGCCTATTTGAAACTTTTCTCTTATTTTTATTATATTATCAAATGAAACTGCAATTGAATTGAAATGAAACTGTAGTTGTGTTGAAATGAAACTGCAGTGTATACAAAATGAAACTGAATAAAATTTTACATATTTGAGTGTATATTGTCCAAACGAAACTGTGATTATATCAAAATGATACTGTAATTGTGTTGAAATTAAACTGCAGTGCATATTTGATGCTTGGACCATAATGCATTGTGGACCGCGGTCCACAGTATAATTTGTCCATCGTTATACTGTGGACCAGGATCCACAGTGGACCCTTATCTTAAACGATGTAGTTTTAAATTTTAATTTTAACAATGTCCCTTTTTAATTTGTTCAATTCACGTTACAGATTTAAAAAAAAAAAAAAAACTATAAAGCATATGTATGTGTCTTGTATTATACGTTTCTGTGTTCGTGTTATGCAATTCTATACTTTAAGCATATGAATTCTGTACCTGAAATAAAACAAATATAACATATGCTTTTGTATCTTGTGGTATGCGTTTTTGTGTCTTATGTTATGCGCTTTTGTGACTTATGTTATGCATGTCAAAAATATTGATTTTGTACCTGAACTAAAGTAAATATAAAACATGTGTATGCGTCTTGTGTTATGCGTTTCTATGTATGATGTTATGCAAATCTGTACCTTAAAGCGTATGGATTAAGTACATGAAATAGATTTGATAGGGGTGGAAGCTAAGTCTTCTTTGACTCTTGATGTGCCAACTATATGGAATCCAACCTATTTGATGCTCAAGAATGTATTCACATATCAAAAGGCCGGTATTTGAAGCCTATGAAGAAAATGATAGTTCATTCAGCTCAGATTTAGGTGAATCTATCTCTGATTTTATTGATTGGCATTCTGTTGAGCATATAGTGAAGCTGCTTAAATGTTTTTATGGAATGACAGTGAGGATTTCTGGTTCTCTAAATCTGACTGCCAATAATTTCTTCTCTAAAATTTCTGATTTGTCATGCATGCTGTCTGATATGGTGGAAGCTGATTCTGCATATGTTAAGTTGATGGGGTCCAATATGAAATCAAAATTTGAGAAATATTGTGGTGATCCTGATAAGATGAATTTCATAATGTTTTGTGAAAAATATATTGGATCCAAGGGATGAAATTGAATATATGACATACCAGTTCATACAACTGTATGGTGATGTAAAGGGAAAATCTTATTTCGACAATGTTATAAATGGTTTGAAAATTTTGTATGATGACTATGTGCCCAGTTATTCTGTTTATGCTATTGTTATGCAAGAACCTTCTGTCACTCCTTCAACCCACTCTGAATCTGTCACTATTGGGAGACCACAATGTAGATTGAAATATCAATTGAAAAAGCAAAGATCAAAGATTGGTGAGTTGGGAGTCAAGAAAACAGAGTTGCAAATATACCTCAGAGAGAAAATTGTGGAAGATGATAGCCCTAACTTTGACATTTTAAATTGGTGGAAGGTCAATAGTCGTAGGTTTCCTATCATCTCCCAATTAGCTAGGGATGTTCTTGTTGTTCTCATTTCCACTATAGTTTTTGCATATGTTTTTAGCACTGGTGGAAGAGTGTTAGATGTATTTAGGAGTTCTTTTAACTCATAAGATTGTGGAAGCTCTTGTTTGTGCACAAGATTGGATGAGGTTGCCAAATCAACCCATCACAGTGGAAGAAAATCTAGATGAGGTAAAGCTATTAGAAAAAGGAGTAGGTAACTCATTTTACTTGCAGAATTTTTTAAACTCTAAATGTTTAATAAATTAAATTCATCAATGTTGTTTACTTTGTTTGTGTTTGGCTGTTTGCAGAATTGATGAGTGGCAGTGGAGCTGTGAGTAGTGGAACTGGTTATTCACTTCCCCCAATTGTTGTAACTGCTACTTGCATACTTCTCTCGACTATAGCTAAATTCATAAATTAGTCTTCGACTTTCAATTTCAACCAATTAAGTCCTTAACTTTGTAATTTTGACACGATTTGGTCCTCCATCTATTTGACCGTTTGTTGACCGTGATCGACGATCTCCAAAAGAACCTTCAGCTCTTGTCGGAGCACGTGGAGGCCTCCAGGATGACGTTGCACTGGTTCGGAAACATGTCGTCTTCTTCGCTCTGGTACGAACTCAACTACATTGAATCCAAAGGAAGGATGAAGAAAGGCGACCGGATTTGGTAGATTGCTTTCGTCAGTGGATTCAAATGTAACAGTGCGGTCTGAAAATGCAACCAGAATCTTAAAAACCCGACGATGGACCATGAAATTACATATATATCCTCAAAAATCACAGTCAACAAACGGTGAAATAGACAGAGGACCAAATTGTGTTAAAATTACAAAGTTAAGGACTTAATTGGTTGAAATTGAAAGTTGAGGACCAAATTTTTTTTTTTTTTTTTTTTTTTTTTTTTTTTTTTTGTTCAATTGACCTAATGTCTAAAACAGGAAGAGATTGGACAGTTGCCAATTGGCAAAAGGGTAAGTGGTTGGGCAACTTTTATTAGTTGCTGCCATTCTTCACTTTGCCAATTGCCATGAGGCATGAGCCCATGATGATTGATACACAGGCACAAAACGCTCAGGCCACACTACAACAGGTTTGATTTAAGGCTCCTAAGTTCTAAGCTCAGATGGTAATATTGTATCTCACTCTCTGCCTCTTATCTCTTTATGATATTTATCTCTCTGCCTCTTTCCTAATTCTTGAGTACTGGACTTTGACCTGATAATGCTTCCCACCAATAGTCTGAAAAAAAAATAAAAAAATTGTGGGTTGGTATGTTGCACTAGGTAGAACTCAACTACTCAAGTAGTAATTTGTAAACATTCCTTGTCTTGACATGAAAGCTAAAGCATTTTGAGCCATAATTTGTCTTTTAAATTGTTTTTAAACATTGTTAATTTATGAAGGAATAAGGGTCAAATAGACCATCCAACTACACACAAAAATGTAATTAGGTCATCGAATTCAAAAAAACTACAATTAGGTCCTTGAACTACGCAAATTAATACAATTTTACAAAAAAAATGACTTGTTTACCTGTTGTGTCGGTTTTCAGAATTAAAAATAATTTTTAAACATTTATTTTAATAATTTTAAATAATAAATTATTTTAAAATTAAAAAAAAAATCCGCCGGAGACGAAGGGTCCCCTTCGTCTCCGGCAGAATTTTTTTTAAAATTTTAAAATAAATTTGTATTTAAAATTATTAAAATAAAAGTTAAAAAATAGGTAAACAAGTCATTTTGGATGAAATTGTATAAATTTGTGTAGTTTAGGGACCTAATTGTAACTTTTTTTAGTTGGGTGGCCTAATTGCATGTTGGTGTGCAGTTGGATGGCTTATTTGAACCTTATTCCATTTATGAATTTTGACTGATTTTTTAAAGTTCTCTCTCCAATCATTATTATGTGAACCATGGTCGATACAAGTTGTGTGGACCATATTTTGTTTACTATAAAATAATGTACATTCAGTACAAAAATAATGTATATTCAGTACAAAAATAATGTACATTGTATTCATGGGATGTACATTATATATTTTTATTCTGAGTGTACATTATATTGTATAATATACATTCAGTACAAAAATAATGTACATTTAATATATTAAAAATGTACTTTTTGTTATGGTCTACATAATATTGTGTGGACCATGGTCCACATAATATTATTTGGACCATGGTCCACACAATAATTTGCCCTCTCTAACTTATTGCATTTGGCTAATGTTATTTTCATTAGAAGGAAGAAGAACACGAATAGCAAATTGAGTAGAGTTTGTGTCTGTCTAGAATTTAAAAATGAAATCCAAAATTGTTTTGTATCACTTTTTTTGTGACTTGTGACGTGTGAGTTGGTTACTTGGTGCCAATGATTGGACAAATTGGTAACTGGAGTCAATTATGTAAATTGTAATTAAGTAATTTATATGTTGTAGTTTGTTACTATCGACTTCTGTATAACTGAGTGACTATACATAATATGAGGCACGATTATATCTTTAGTAACAAAATGAATACAAAATGAGGCACTTATATCTTTAAATATACATAATATTTATATGGAATTAAATCAATACTCTTTGGGAAATCATTGATTCTTAATATAGTTTGGAAATGCAATGATTTTTATCCTGAATGGTAAAAAAGTTACCGAATATAACAATAATGTTTCAATATTTAAGGTCACAAATTGACTCACATAATAATTCACAAATACTAGAACACCAATGAAAATGGGTAAAGCTTTCACTGTGTGCGCCTTTTTCGCCATCATATATTTTGTCATGCTTTCTAACATTGGTAAATAACTTGCCTTTTTTTTTTTTTTTTTTTTTTTTTTTTTTTTTTTTAAGTCATTTGGAATCATTTTCATGTTCAAAGGTGACTTTTTTACTTACAAATGTTATTTTGGATAAGAAGTAATTTATATCTTGATATAAGGAAATAAAGTTGTGTCTTCACTACTAACTACAATGTTTGGCGTAGTGCTAAGCGCATAATCATAACAAAATTTAGTTGATTTAAAAAGTTGAGGATTAGAAGTGATGATGATCAAAATTAAAATGAATGGATTGAAAGTAATAATAATCATTTT